CGCTCAGCATGACTACCACAGCGGGATACATTATCTCGCCGCACCGTAGACACCAGCGTCTTCTCTCCACGTTTCTCCCGTTTTTGGTTTCGCGCGCATTTTCCCCCTCACCCTGCTTGGAGTACTCATGGCAGTTTGCCATTTGATGGCAAAACCTACATCATTTCTGGGATATTTTCATTTCACTTACAGTACGTAACAGAGGGAGTGATAAATTTACCTCATTAAGTCCTAGAGTCTTGCAGATCATGACCAAAAAATAAAATTCAGCATCTTATCAAGCAGAATGCAACATCTCTGAGGAAAATTTTGCGCAGAATACATGGGAACGCCATATGGCTGGGAATTAGATTCATATTTTGTGTATCATTGCTTTTATTTGTTATGTTGATCATTAGTATCAGTACATTTCTGTTTGGCAATGTAAATTGAAACTTTATGCTATGTAATTTATCTATCTATCTATATATATATATATATACATACATATATATACATATAACTCTCTGTCTTAGAATCTATAAACGTATATTTTTCAAATAAATAAATATACATACATATATATATATATGTATATATATATACACATCTATATGATGAATCGACTGTAATTGAGTTATAAATAGGCTTGTGTGAGGAGGAAAAAATGGTTCATGATCTAGTCGTAAAATCTGTACAAATTTAAATGAATTTAAATCAAATTCTCCAAGAAATATGTAAGTTGATTTGTTTATTTTTTCCCTATGCTGTGCAAATTTAACGCGATTGAATGATTAGAATAAGTTAAAATCAGTGATTAAAAATAGTATTACAAAATCCAATTTTAAATTTGCAGAAAAGAAGCTTTTACTTAAAAATTCAACGTGCAAATATTGTCGTACAACTAATAACAATTTGTCGGCATTTATTGATGTTACAAAAAGACAACTAAATTTATGGAGGTTAATACCTGTCAATAGAAAGCAATTTTGCATGAAAACCAATTTCTTGGAGTAGTTTTAAGATAGACAATTTTTTTTATGAATGTTTCAGTACTCTACTACTAAGTTTATAAAGATGCTTATATTGAAAAGGTAGAACTGGTTTTACTTCGACATTTCTGTTTATCATACATAGTTTTTTCCCCTTTTCTTTTCCTATATGCATGAATCAAGTCAGCAAATGTAAATAACAAATTTTAGTATTTCATAAAAAGCGGTTTAGCTGAAATTTAAAGAAAAAAGGAAAATGATAATCTTAAAAAGAGAAACAAAGAACGAAATAATAATTAATCAGTTTTCTTAAACTCACAGCTTGCTTCGCCTTTTTTATGAGCTTTTGAGTTATCACATAATAATTTTTATGAAAGAAAAATTTTGAAAGTATATTTAGCAAATTTACAGTTAGTTCCCCAATGAAACTACGCTTAAATCGCTTTTACGATAGTCATGCAAATGAGTTCTTGAACGCATCTCTGAAGAAAATGAGCTCCGTGGAATCAGCACAAGTACACTTATATTTAATCCTCTTCGGCTACAGTCTGCCGAACTATTAAAAACGCCGCTTATAGAAAAAATAATAAATTTTTAGCATGACGAATTCGACAAAAAGGAAATGAAATCCTCAATTTTTACTTGTAATAGCTACAATCACACATTCTACCCCTCTTCAAAACACAAGATGTTAGCGCGAAATATTTTCTTAACTTTTACGTTAACCAAACTTTAAGTCACAATTCTCTTTACTTTTCTGCCTCTCTGACACGCTGCTTAAACATCTTTAATGGTTTTTACCATTATTTTCCTCTGAACATTAATTAGAAATAACGATTATTCTGGCGGCCTCATTATATAGCGGAAGTGTACATTCAAATAGCGCGCGGCATCCTTAAGAAAACTTTTAAACCTTTTAGTAAGTTCAGATTTGAGGCACTTTTTAAAAAGTAAGTTGAACAGAAAGCCATGCCCTCAAAGGGAATAAACAGATGAAATAAGAAAGGCGTCATCAAATAATGATTGAAAAAAAAAATACAAAAATTAACGATCATGGTTCAAGTTCTCATCTGTGTAAAAAAATAAGAAATCTTGTTTTTGATGATCATAAATATTTGATTTTTTATTTTAGCTCCTAACTCGGGAATTGTCCACAAAAGATAGCTACTAATTTACAATCGATTTGGAAACGTTGGGAAAATAAAAACTGAGTGGTCGTTTCTTTAATCCATACGATCGAGAAAAATTTAAAGTGAAGATTATCAATTCTTAATGGTTTAAATACAGAATAATGAAAAATCGACTATCAATTACCTTAGAGACTGATTGAGCAAACAGCTGCATTAATGAAAGTTAGCTGATGAGAAAATAATAATTTGTGAGCATAAGGGCGACTGAAAAAATTTCTTTTCCTGACAACCTTATTTTTTAATCGTTAAGATTTTTGTAACATTGCAATTTTATCTTTCCATTGACTTTTTTTTCGCTCTCCTTTTGATTTATTGAAATATTTCAACTTTTTCAAATGACAACAGAGGCCGCAACTTGAAATAATATAAGTAGAGAAAGGACATCAAAAGTCTACAAAAAGGGAAACTAAAAAGTTGTGCACAGACGACCGATGTCTTTTCTGACTAATAGGATACATGAAAGAATAACTCAGTTCTGACTGGTTAAGATAAATGCAGTTTTCAGGTAATTCAGCGCAGAAGAGGGTTAATTCAGTGCAAAGAAGTAACAAACCCAACTGAACAATTCCTTGAACTGTTTGGCCGGACTTTGAACTTTTTTGCACCTTACAGATGTGAAAATCGCATTGCATGTTATTGCTTTGATCGTACGCGGTTGTTTTGACCGAGTGCACAATGTCACTTGCAGGATTTGAATAAATTATTTTTGCGCTTGATGAGCGCGCTTTGCTTCTGCCTAATTATGATAACCTATCTCGTATTTTTTCGTGTATATTATTAATGCGTAATCACATGATTTTTCTCGTGCAATTTAGAATAAATAAGCGCTTGTAAAATTTTTTCAAAGACAAAGACAAAATTGCACTCGCTCTACGAGCTCGTGCAATTTTGTTTGTCTTTGAAAAAATTTACTCGCTCTTATTTATTCCAAATTGCTCTCAAATCATGTGGGTTTACAAATTGAATGTGGGGAAGCATTTTCAAAGCGGAGTCTATGGAATAATCCAATAGGCGGATTGATTACATCAAAATAGAGCGCTTTCCGATTGGGTGTCGTAAAACCAATCATAATAATCGCAACAGCCAATCAGAACTCAAGGTATAAACAGGCGAACTCTCTTGAGCGCGGGAAAACGTGCGTGACCAAGTCGTGATTAACTTAAGTATCGAATCTGATTGGTTGAGAAAATGGCGCGAGTTTTCTGCTGAACCAGTCACTGGGCGAATCAAAGCAAAACCAAAACATTTTCGAACTAGCTTCGACATTCAATTGAAAACTGCTCTAAAACGCGGGAACGTCAATTAATAGCACGTTACATGATCTCGCTAAGCGGTGAGAATGAGCGACCGGCAGCGCTCTAACGACGCTTGGTGGCTGTAACGGGAAAGGATAGCGGAGTAGCTTCCAGAACAGACGTTACTGCCTTGCATTTTTCAGGTGAGCGGAGGCGACTTGAATACTGGGTTTGACGTCCTCAATTCAACGTGTTCATGTTTCAAAACAACTGAGTTTCAATCAACAAAGCAGCATAACAGAACATCCTTTCTGTCAGGAAACTTTTCATCATATATCATCGATGTACATTCTGTACGGTCACTTCCCTGAGAAACTAAAGCTACTTCTACGTGGGACACGTCCCTAACTAAGAGGCTCCTTTCGATGTCATCTAAGAAAGAGAGAACATTAACTGAACTGAAGGCATAGTTCCTTCAGTGGAATAGCTAAGAAACAGGCGAGATTCTTTGTAAAATGCTTTTGTTCGGGTCTTCAGGACCTAACGCACAAGCAGACCACCCAATGGGTACAACAGGCAGAGCAAACTTTTTGCAATAAAAAGTCATGTAGACAGTTGCGAATCAAGAGCTGAAAATAAAATACAAAATTATAAATATCATATCTTTGTCTAAAAATCCTCAATAAAGTATAACGAAATGCTTGCGCACTTCAATAACTTTTTAGCTTCCGTGGGTAGTTTATAACGTCCTTTACTTACTCATTCTCAACTACTGGTGTATGAATACTTAACTACGCAAAAACTTAATTTCACTGTATTCCGGTTTTTCAGGCGAAGATACGGTGGTTATTCCATTTTTTCAGTACTTTCTTCGGAACAGTCCTAGAAGACTGTCCAGTTTCTCGTCTCGCCCATCGGGTGGTCTGCCTGTGCTTGACCATGCATAAAGTTCAATATCCCTCCAATCATTTTGAACCAACTGAAAAATAGTCACGTCTTTTGGCGAGTGGCGAAAATAAAACGACTTGATTCCAACAGGGACACGAACCTCTGACCATCGGTTCCCGTTCTTTACCCACAGAATACTCAATAGTACGCTACATGCACGCCATTAAAAGACTGATATCAGACACGCGTCCTGCATGTGGCACTTTTGATACAAGTGTCAAAAGCCAAAACCGGTCAGGGTAAACTCAAAACGCTAATGACCAAGTTGCAATGGTTTTTAGTTTCGAATCTGATTGCTTGAGAGCATGGCGCGAGTTTTCTTCACCCATCACAGAGCAAAGTTAAGTGAAACCAAGGCAATCCCGGATTAATTCAGACACTCAATTGAAACTGCTCTACTATGGGGATCAGCAATATCTAAAGCGTTAAGTGAGTGAAAAGAACAAGAAAGATGGTAAATTTTGAGCTCGGTTGTTGAGTGAAGAATAAAGTTTCCAGTTCTCGTGGGCTATTCAGATTTTTTCCTTTTCCTCACGCTTGTGTAAAGACGGATATCATCTCTTTAACTTCCATTTTCTTTTTAACATGTCAATTAATCTAAATCAATGTGTGGATGCAAAAGGGAAATAATATGCAAGAGCCAAGAGTTCCCAACATGAACTGCAACAGCGTTTTTATTTTCATTAGTTGTTTTTATTACTCATCTCTCCTGATTATGTTTAAGAAAATCAAACAATTCAAGGTTTCACAAAAGGTGGGAAAACAAAAATTTGAAGAATAGGGTGGAAGGACTGCTTTTCAAGCAAACTAAAACAATAATGGAGAGTGATATAAAGAAGTAAAAGCCATAAAATTCCTCAAGTGAATAAGAGATGAAAAGATAGACCCTGGGAACAAGCTTGGCATCACCAAACAACTTCTCTAAGATGTGGGACTGCGCATTTGTGACATAATAGACTGAATCAACTCCTTACACCAATACAACATGTACTTTAGGGACACAACTTCACTAATACTTGGAAAGAAAGACTAATTTATATTCCAACATTTTGAAATGTTTCTTGCTCATAGTCATGGTGCCTTTGATGGTAATTAAAACTGACATGAGACTAGATTTTGTTGAAGTTGTGACGAGATGATAAACCCATGTGTGGATAACAAAAAAAATGCATAAACTAGCCAGGCACTACAATCCATTCCTATTTATACAACTTTAAATAAATTCATTTATTTGCTTATTGCTCTTCATTTTTCCTGAGGTCATATGCTATCCTAGGAGATGTTTCTTAGCAGCAACAGTTACTTTCCTTTCAAAGTTGGGTGATTCAATCTTTTTGTTCATGTCATAAAATGGATTCATAATAACCTGCAATAATAAAAGGGAAAAAGTGTGTTCAAAACCAGGCAATGATATAAAGCAAAGATTCATACACACATTACAGAGTGTAACACCACCAAACAAATGCTAAACATCAAAACTGTTTTACATAGCAGGGTAAATAACATACCAAGAGAATGAGGTGTCCTTTGGTTTTTCATTAGTTTGAAAGAACATTTTACCATAAATATGTCAAGGTGGCTAAAAAATCGTTTCATTGTTTTCTTACTCTAGTTCTTCGTTAGACTGATCTTCCCACACCTTTTCGTGTTCCGTGAAAATAGTGTCAATGTGTTTTGATCATTTCAAATTTAATTTAGCAACATTACAGCCTCTTTCAAGTGCCATCCAACTAATTTTTTGAACCAAGGGTAACTTAAGCAAAATGTCACTGATACAGTGTTTTAGGAATCTGTGTCGTTGCTATGGTGACCATAATTGTTAGAAAAATTATCTCAACTGCATTAAGAAATAGTTGGGCATTGTTTTTGGCATCATTACTAAAGAAACACATTGTTAAATGGAAGCTCCAATTCATCAAAGAATCAGTTTTTAAAAACAAGGAAACCATTTTGAGCTACCTTGAGTCTGAATTTGTAATATCATGATGGTTCAATTCCCAAAATTCATACTTTGTACCAGTTGACTGAGTGAGAGAGCTGGTTGGGAAAATACATTTGGCTTGAGGTCATGAGCACAGCGAGGTCTGTGTGTCATGACCAAAAGTCAAATATTTTCCCAATAAGCCCCACCAAACTCAGTCAATAGGCATTATAACCACTAAGTTATTAAAATTTCAAAACTTTTTTTGTGTCAAACTATATCAGATAGACTTGCATGTAAAAGAAGGGTTTGCATTGGACAACTACTAAAAATATTCTACAGAAAGCAAATTCATTTATTTCTTTGAATTAGAACAAGAAATTCATGGTTCATTGAGAAGTATGACTCTTTCTCATTGGTTACATTTCCAATTGAAGTCCTTGATTCCAATCAATACTCTAGGAAAATGCAAAAGAGCTATACGACTGCAGAGCAAGATGGCTTTTTTCAGACCACCTGTCTGGCTCTACACACCCCAGCTTCTACTATGGTTTGTTATGGAGTTGCAGACCTGGGGCTGTATAGTCATATGATACATAACAATAACAGTTAAAGAGTTAATCCACAGAGTGCACATAGAAAATCTATTTTAAAAAATGACCTGAAAATATGTTTTCTTGATTATGACATTTGTTTGTACCTAATGTATTTAAAAGCAAATAAGAATCTCAAAGTACCTTGATGTATGTTTCATAGACATCAGAAAAGAAATTCTTTATTCCATCATCATTTCTCACATCATGAAGCATCATAAATCTCTTACATTATATAAGTTAAGGGAAAAGAAAGCTTAAGTTAAACACTCTTTTCAGAATGTTTTTTACCAAAGAATTCCACATTGTTCCAAATCATTACACTGTTGTATCTAAAATCCAAGCTAATGAGTGCACAATCCTAATGACCATTTTTATTGTGCATTTGCTCATGGACAAACAATTGCATGTCCTCACTCCTATGAATTTTTTTCCTTCTGATCATGTACATGTACACAGCTTAGCCACACATCTCTACTATTAAAGTATTTGCTATTTCTATTACCTTCTCTGTGTAAACAAATATCAAATCTGGAAAACATCATCATCTTAATTCCAAACTTTTACTGGAGTAAACAAAAGTGGTCTTTGTTTTTGTTAAATTAAGTGTAACTATGAAAAAACAGAATCCATTATTTGGCCCCATTTTTGAGACATAGACCAGTGCTTGAATGCATTCAACTAGAAATATAACCTACTCAGGTCACACTGACACATAAACAAGTACTGAATAAACTTGGGTGGATACATGCATGTATAGGTTGCCTAATAAATATACTTGATTTGCTCTGACGAAGGGCTGATGCTCAAAACGTCAGCTTTGAAACTCTTTATAGTGGTCAATTTACATTATCAACTCCATTGATAGGTAATTATTACCTAATCACACTTGTATCCATTTACCATAATGTCATATGATATTTTTATATTTTATATTTTTATAAGTGTGTTTTTATAAGTGTCCCGCCACTTCTACCTTCTCTAGACACAATTTTCAGTCTATTCTGTTAACCCTTCAACTCCCATAAGTGGGCAAGACAGAATTTCTCCTTACAATATCAATACAATATCAAGCAGACAAGTGATGAGAATAAAGAAAAATATAAATTAGGGAATTATTAGTTGATCCAATACCAAATTCTTCAAACTAACATCACAAGAACTATACAGCAGACAGTAAGGAGAATTACTAATGAGATCTTGGGAGTTACAGGATTAATTTGGTTCTATATGCTTTGAACTAAAAGGATATCTGAGGCTGTTACAAAAGCTGACACAAACCATTCATTGAACTTGTCGACATTTTTCAGATACCTGTTTTAAGGAGGCAATAAAAGAAAAGAATATTTGCATCATGATTGAAGCATTACACATATCAACTTCATTATTACATGGACAATGTAAATAAACTTCAGTCACAGTATTTAGCTGAGTAGAAAATTTGCTGATTAGGCACTCACAAGTATGAACCCTTAAACCCTTTACACCCAACATCAGTATGCATATTCTCCATACTCTTCTCTATAAATTTCTATGGTTCTGCCAAGGAGACTCTGTTTAACTCTTTAGCCCCTAAGAGTGACTCACATCTTATTTCTCCTTACAATATCACCCCTGAGTCACACATTAAGGTTACAAGAATAAAGGAAATGATCACCAACTAAAAAAGCTCTTGATTGTTATTCAATTTCTCCTTGTGAGCAACTTAGGGAACATGTAGAGAACAGTATGGAGAAGATGCATACTGATCTTAGGGTGTAAAGGTTTGATAACCAGGAGCTCCGTTAATTAGTGATCATTTCCTATATCATTGTGAGCTTGATGTTTGCTTCAGGGGTTTTATTGTAAGGAGAAATTAGATGCTAGTCACTCTAACCGGTCAGAGGGTTAACTCCTAAGATGTGAAAATTAATTATCTGGATTGTGTGAATACCCTTTTCATAATTTTTGGTCAAAGATTTGGTGTTAGAGCATTCAAAATTGCCATATCAATATTATCTTTCTGTTTTAAAATGCATGCATATTGTAAGGGGAAATTCCTCTTCAGTCACTCCTTGGAGTGAAAAGGTTAACCCTTTTGCTCCCAGATCAAATTTTTAATTCTCCTTATTGTCAACCATACAATTCTTATAATGTTAGTTCACAGAATTTAGTATTGGATCAACTAACTATCCCCAAATTGATATTTTTCTTTATTCTCATCACTTATCTGGCTGATTTTGTATTGATATTGTAAGGAGAAATTCTTTCTTGGTCACTCATGGGAGTAAAAGGGTTAAAGTGGCTTCCTTAGAATTACATTTAGGTTTAGGTAAGACAATCAAGGACCTCATCACTTCACCTATGACAAGAATGATAAAAACTAACTCATAGGTGAAAAATTTTTACAATCAACATTGACTTGTGCAAACTTTTGTAGTTTTCTGAATCTAAGGATTTTTATTACAGAGAGCTACTAATTTAAATTGGGCTACGGAAGTCAAGTCCCTAATTATTTTCAAACTTACATTCCTGTAGTGGACCACATAGATTCATCAACAAGATCCAGTGCAGCATGTGCGATAAACTGATTGAGGTGTCTGTGATCATCTCTCTGAAGATTTACAAATCAGGAAAATGCAGACTGTTGTACATGTACATGTAATCACATCATTTATCCACTGCCACCATACAGGCATCGCCCAAGTTTTTGTTTAACAATAGTGTTGAATACAGTCAAATTAAAGTACCACCAATATGCAAGCAGCCAAAGCTAAACGTAAATCGTGTGAATTTTGATTATCATTTACAGTTTGAACTGAGTGATCATTGAACAGGGCGAAAAGTTACCTTATAGCTTTCGCGGCCCTGAGACGAATCCATAGATTTCGTTGGTGTATTGAATTCCATTTCAAACACTGGATTATCGCGGTGTCCGACAATTGCAAAGTAATAGTTTCCCAGCATTTTGATCCCTGGAATTATAACATTCGTCGTCAAAATCTAACTCATTTCAGTGCTTCACTTTCCACTGTATAATTTGTCGTTTGACCGAGGAAAGTTTTCTTCCAGGCGCCAAATCTTGACCGAAAAGACTGAGGTGAGCTGACATCTTGTCCAATCTCCTCTCTGTCAGATCCAAAATGGCGGTCAGTCCCTTCCCACGCATCATTGCGCGACGAATTTTTCCGCCAATGGCCTTGCCAGGAAAGAACCGTGTGGCGCGCAGAGAAAATTTGTGCAAACTCCTTAGTTTAATTTGCAGATAGTTTGGCACATTATGGCTTAGCAACTAATCGACAAGCAGTAAAATCAAGGTTTTGGAACGGATCTAACGACCTTGCAGGTAATTAGATAAGTTTGCTGGTACAATTGTGGAAGATTGTTATGTTTTGGAGCGCTTAATTGAAGAGCCTCCAGTTTCCTAGCAGTGAAGTATACAAAAACCCCGCTGTACATGCATGCAATTAACTGGATTAAGGTTGTTAAAGCAGTAGCCTCGTCAAACGAACGTGTTTGATCGTGTGCTCTATTTTGATTCATCTATGTTTTATCATGTAACGATTTCACTTCTTAAGATGTGAGATTTTTCGCTAGCAAAATAGTTACTAAAGGTTGTTCGTAGTTCGCAAGCGCCCTACAATTAGTCGGAAGGTACGGAAGATAAACAGTGGTAAACAAGCCGTCCATGTCCTCAAAGAGGGGTCTTTCTTCGCCGTTTTGAGCTCGAAAGCGTGATTTGCATGTTGCGCCTTTTTCCTTTTTTCTGTTACGTGGTAAATCTGATCAGTTAATGTAATTCATTACATAGTGAAAGCGGATGAACTTACGTTCGGTGACATGTCATATCTAAATACTTGTGCTCTCAAAACAGTTTACGGTACCCTTTTCAGTACCAAACTTTCTAGAAGAACCACCTTATCATCAATGGCTTCAAATTGTTAAATATATATTTCTAATTTTCTTTGTACAGCTGCAATAGCCACATGTAAACTTTTACTAAATACGTGTTTGTAGGTATTGTATGATAACGAGGTAATCATCAATATTTTATTTTGAATTGCAAGCAGCAGGGTTCGGCTAAAAAAATACAAATTTTAGAATTAAGCTTGACTGAATTCTGACTGGAAGTGATCTACATTGTTCTCTCAATCAACAGTGTCCTCCCTTGAGACACCTTATTAATGTGTTGGCCAGATAACCTAGACTCACTAATAAATATGTACTCTATATTCCTGTAGAAGTAATGTACCACGCATGTTTACATTGGGAAGCACTTTTTTTTTCCTGCAAGCTTAACTAGGATGAAGTTGTTTTCTGAGTGATAGCTTGGCTTATGACCACAACCTGATTACTGATCAGTTGAACTGTGGTTAAAGACCTCTAAGGGGTGACAAAAATTTCTTGATGTCTCTTGAAAGCTTCATTCAGTTCGAAAGGGAGCATTTCCTTGTGTTAAATTTAGGCAGATAATTTTTGACCATAGAAATTTTAAAATTGTCTAATATGTGACATTAGATATGCTTTGTCATTTGATTATTGTATTGTCTTGCCTTAAAACTACAGTCATAAATATACATACTAGTGACAGATCTCAGAATTAAGAACTGGTTCACTAGTGGAAAGAGAGTTGTTTGAGATTAAAAACCTGTGAATGGTTTTTCTTGACTACCACTTTATTTAGGTGAGAAATATCATTGTTTTTTTAGGTCACTCCTGTCTATTTCACTTAATCGCACTTCATTCCTTACTTTTTCAGTTAATGTGTATTCTTGATTAAAATTACCAGGAAGCCTTTGAAGAATCATGGCTGATAGATTCCCATCAGAAGATGCAAGCCGGTCATCCCAGCCTTTGCGTGGACCATATTCTGAGCCGAGATCACAACGACAAGCTCCTCGTCAATATCCAGCTAGTTTGGATACTGATCTAAGCCTCATTACAGAGCTTCGCAGGTCTGAAGAGGAAGCTTCTGGACATAGATCCCTGCCAAATAACTTGGTAAAATTTTATCATGTAAACTTTACAAACATTTTTTTCTCCTTTTGGAATTACAGGTCTTGTTGTGTGTATATATTTATATATGTGTGTGTGTGTGTGTAAAAAGTCATGTGAATATTGGTGCACAAGTGGTGTTCTTCTTGTTTTTACTTGGTGATTTTTCCATAGTACAGTTCCTTTGTTGAACTGGGATTCTGCTAAAAGTCTTCCAGTTTTGCATACCATGTGAGAAATTCATATGCAGGTGAAACCTGCAGATTTGGGTTATTTCTTTATTCATACAGAGTTCTAATGGTTAATTTGTTTCACACTCACTTCACACATGGTCACATGTGTTTCACACATTTGTCACATGCACTTTACTGTGAGTGAGTTTGAAGCTCACCATTACTGGACTAAGTCATGAGATTTTCTCTTATTATTTCCAATAAATTTCCCTCTTATCTGATTCATTTTTGTAGTTCTCAAATCCTTGGTCAACCCTTTGACCCCTAAGAGGGTCTGGCATCTTATTTCTCCTTACAGTATCAGCCCTGAATTACACATGAAGGTCACACAAATAAACAAAATGATCACCAGCTTAAGTAGCTCTTGATTGTTGAGCAATTTCTCCTTGTCAGCACCTCTGGAAATGTATAGAGAACAATACAGAGAATAAGCATACTGATGGTAGGGTGTGAAGGGTTAACTACTTCTTTCCAATATACTCAGCTGCACTTTGATACTAAAGGTAACTTTTATTTGTCGTTGAAAGGGATGGTCTTCAAGAGCAAGTGCTCTCTCACCATCAGCTGCAAGTGGTGCAACAAAAAAGAAAGGAAAACACTTTGAGCAGGTGAAGCTGCCTCCTAAGGCTGGCTCAGCTAGCCCCTCTTCTGATGGTACCCATTTCACTAGAAAACGACACCATACACCAGCTACAGTTCCAAGAACACGCCTACCTCCTGGTACCCCAATGGCAGAGAGGTTGGCTATGGAAAGTTTAAAGCAAAAATTGTCTTTTGAGGAAAAACCTGAGGTCAGTTTGGTTTGTGGTACTCACTGTAAATCTCCACCCTTAAGTTCAAATACCTTCTGTCGTGATTTATTAAATTTGTAATTATTTTTTGATAACAACCATTACTTGGTAAATTAAATGTGAAAAAATTCCATTGCTTTAATATTTTTGTCATTTCCTGGAAATATGAGAATTACCTGAAAACTTTTCATGGGACTGAAATACAGTTAACAGTCCATTTTACAGTTGTGTGCTTAGTTGCCAAGCCTTTGAATAGGAGTGAGGCTAAGGGTGACCTTGTTATGATACAAACTTGCTGCTATTCGAATGTAAATCTCTTTGTTATCATGCTAACCAGATACTGGTCCTTATCACAATAAGGTCACTTTCAGCCTCACCCAAATCAAAGGCTTGGCAACTAAGTACACAATTATAAAATGGCCAATTGTGATTTCTACATTTTTCATTGATATGTGAGACATGATTTTGGACATTTGTCTCTGAAAATGTGTAGTAGACACTAGTTGTCAGCAATTGTTGTGGAAACCTCATGGGAAATGTTTGTAGTATTTTAACCCTTTCACTCCTAGGTCTCATTAGCAATTTTCCTTAACATCTGCCATACAATACTTATAATGTTAGTCTGGAGAAGTTGGTATTGGATCAACTAACAATCCCCTAATTACTATTTTCTTTATTCTTATCACTTGTCTGCTTGATATTTTATTGATCTTGTAAGGAGAAATTCTGTCTTGGTCACTCATGGGAGTTAAAAGGTTAAAACTCATTCCTTGGGTGTAATTTAAGAATCTTGATCCATTCTATCTGTTTCTGTATTTGACTATCCTTAACAGTACAGCTTAACATGAACTTGCAAGTTTGTTTGTGGATCCAAACTCTAGTTTGCATTTTCTCGAATGGTGTGGTTTAACTGTCTCTAACATGTACGTGTAATTGGATTACAGCGTGACGAGGAGGGTCCCCGAAGTAGAGGTGGGAGATCATCACAAAATCAATCATCTAGCACAGCTAATAATGAGAGAGCATTACCTACACAACCAAGAGTACCAGCCACTGCCAGCTTACCAGTGTTGGAGATGAATGAAACTGAGACAGCAAGGACTTCTACAGAGGCAGCTCCTAGATCAACAGCTTCTAAGGTATAAATTCTACAAAGTTTGGGTATGATATAGTCTATGCTGTGTGGGTTTATATGTCTACTTATGCACATGCATCCTGTACTTTATTTACACATATTTTATAATAAGGTATACAGAGTTCTCACTTATTTTACACATGATAAGTCAAAAGAAATTTTCAAACAGGTAAAGCAACCTTTTCCCCATTGAATTTACAAGATGTTCAAGCGACTTTTTAAAAAAGCAACCACAGGCTGTAAATTTTACTAGTTATGACCTGGAAAGGAGAACACTGAGAATAGCTTGTTTAATGTTTGTGCCCTTATTTGTGGTTTTAGACTCATTCAATAATGGTATCTCTCTGTCTATTAAACTCTATTAACTAACAATTGGTACAGTTTAACTAATATTTTCCAGTAGCATTCTGTGATTTTTGTGAGTTAATTTGAGCTGATTTTATCTTTTGCTGTTCAAGGTCAACACACCTTTGATCATTGCAAGGCTCAATCAAGTTCGGGTAAGAATTTAGGGAAGGAAAATATACAGAAAAAACTTTGAAAAAAAAACACCAGTAAATTCTGGTAACTTTTTTACCCACTTATTTACATTAGCATCCTGATTTTTCACATCTCAGTGAACAAGGAAGTTTGTTTGAATTATTGGATAGGAATTATTTGCTTGGGAGGAGCGTGGAAGACAGTTTTGTTTCTTAATGTCAGGAGTTTGGAGAATATGAGGGTTCAAGAGTAAAGGATTTCTCTTAACCCTTTAACTCCCAAGATCCGATTGTTAATTCTCCCCTCTTGCTACTACACATTACCTTGTCAATTGGTTGTGAGAATTTGGTGTTGGAGCAAGATAACATCTGCCTGATTAATCTGTGTATTCTTAGTAACTGTTTGTTGGATAATCTATGGATATTTTTGGGAG